TAATCCTTATCCTCAATTACCTGGCAATGTTCCCTGCGTGAGGTGCAAACTAATGTTTGTTGTTGTTGCTGCTGTTGTGTTGCAGGATGGTGATGCAACGTCTGTGTCTCTTCTCAACTTGGACCCCAATGATCACACTCCTGAGGTGATCAGTGAAATCAGTTGTATATGAAGGATTTAATGAATGCTTTTTAGTTCTGTTCTGAATGCTGATACTGGAGTAGACATAGAAACATTTTATGGCAAAGCTATATGTATTTGTGTTGCAAATCCATTTAGAATAGCGCAAGGAAAGCAATACATGTGTTGGAAATGAGATGCTAATGCATACGTTTTCTGTGTTGGGTATAAAACTAAAGACAATGAAACATAATTTGTTGGCCAGATACTCTACTCGGCACTGGGACATTTTTTGCTAAGTAAGCTCTCTGAAGTGGCTTCCCGCCCTGCTGAAAAAAATGCATTGTTTTGCACAATGCAGTATGCTACAAACCTGAACTTAAGACAAAATAAGCAGAAATAAACCCCTTTTTAATTTGACATTCAGTTACAAAAAGTATCAAGTGCTGATGCAATTGTATAATAAAACGCAACACAGAGGATTCTGGGATTCTAATGTAATTTTTACTGCATGTAATGTAGTGTGCATGCTTATTTATTAGATATAACTCAACTCTGATGTGGTGAGGTTTGTTATTTGGGTGCTTCTTTATGCTTTTTTTTTTTCTATTACTCATGTTTTGATTTCTGCTCTTTCAGGTCAGTCCTCAGACGCGATACCGGGCCAGAGCGTCTCTCTCAGACCTCTCCAGCTTGAGGGACATCGAAGATTTGTCGGTCAGGCAGCTGAAGGAGATCCTGGCCAGGAACTTTGTCAACTATTCAGGGTGCTGTGAGAAGTGGGAGCTGGTGGAGCGCGTCAGCAGATTGTACAGAGAGACGGAGGAGAACAGGAAATCAAGTGGGTATAAACTTTGTCACTCTGACCTAATATTAGTCATCTTTACATTTTGAAGATGAACTCAAAAATATGGTCTTAACACAGAAAATGGGATTTTTTTGTAATAAAGATTTCTGTAATCATTGAACTCTAAAATCTTGTTTCTTGCAGTGGAAAATGTGAGCAGTACTGTAACCACAGGTAAGCTGTCACTCAGATGTCAGTATTCAATACCACATCCTGTTTTGAACCCATAGAAAGCTGTTTCTTCTGACAGTATCAGAATGTAGCTAATAATAGTGCCATTCAATTTGCTGCACTTCTCCCAAGCAGAGTTCAGAGAACCATGCTGAAATGTCTCTTGCTTGCTTTACTCCCCCCCCCCCCCCCCCACATTAAAGTGGTGGCCTTCCCTCCCTCCCCTCCCATCTGCAACGGTGCCATCAGAGGTAAGGCTTGTAGATTGCCCGTCGCTGTTGCCGTGGTCACATACACCATCTGTGGCTCGCTTCTCCATCGTGCAATCGTGTGTCACATCAGTATTTACAGTCGACCCATTCTCATGTGTCATCTAGTCTAATTGGTTTCATTGATGTTCATGTTTCAAACTGAAGAGCAGAATTTTTCCCATTCTCAGTTTTTTTCATTTTTTCATGCTCCAGAAACACTGCTCCACCTTGACATCAATCTTCCTCTGTCGTCTATTCATGTGTTAATCGTGTGAAGCTTATTATACCGAGACCTGCAGTGTGTCACATGTGTATATTCACTCACTTACCAGCATGCCTCCTGTGATAAAGACTCTGTGGTTGCCATGGAAACATCTTGACACAGCCATTGTGGCAATGACATTTTTTGAAGAGATTGTGAGCATGACCTGACTGACATAAGGCGCACCTGATAAGACGAGGTGTCTCATTAAGATGCTCTGTATTTTTATGACCCTCGTATCCCTCCTCACTGCTTGAAGTTTCACAGCTTTAAAAGAAAAAGCAGCTTTCTTAACAGTTCCAGTCACCACACTCCGTCTCTCTGTCCGTCTTCACCTTGCAGATGGGGAGAAGGGCCCTCTGATGATCAATGACGACAACCTGTGCAGGATCTGCATGGACGCCACGATCGACTGCGTTCTCCTGGAATGCGGTCACATGGTCACATGCACTAAATGCGGCAAGCGAATGAACGAGTGTCCGATCTGCCGGCAGTACGTCGTGAGGGCAGTGCATGTTTTTAAGTCTTAATCCACCAATGCAACACTTCTGATTGGACTGAGACTTCAATCAACCATGCAGCTCATCACCTTTGAATCCATTAAAGACTTACTTTGTGGATGTTCAATGTTTGTATTTCCTCAATTCTCACATTATTTGCACATTGATATGTAATGATTTTTTTTCTTAGGAATTTGACTCCTGAGTTTCACCAGTGGGCAGAGCGTGCTATGAACCCTCCTCTGAGTCATTCCTTACGTAAACATATCTCTCACTGTGTTTATTCCGAAGTGTCTGTTTTGCTTTTCTTAATGTTTTTTTTAAAGCAAAGAATGTGTGGCACTCAGCCACATGCAGTCTTGTTTGACACAACTATTCACCCTCAGATGTAACCATTCACTGTAGCTGACACTCGGCTCTGCTATGGACTCTTAAGAGCCCCTCGCTTTACAACTGCTGCAAGTGACTACATATCTTAATAGCACAGTGGACTGACACACACTGGACCTCGCCACGGGAGAGGGGGGTGATAGTGAACTCGGTGCCAAAAGATGGATCATGCCCTTATTATTCTCACCCATTTATTTCCCCTCGACTGTGTGGTCCGGTGTGTGTACGTCAATTCTCCAGCACGTTTTAACAGAATGCACTTTGTTCACACCGTGTGTTTAATGCACCACTTCTCACAACCAACTGCAAACTATGACCAGTAATGACAGCTGAGGTAGCATTTGTACAAGGTGTTGTTTACTCGTCCAGACTGCAGCTTGATTGCTCCAGTTTGGGAGGACACTGACTCTGTTGAGGTCAGGAAAAAAAAAAAGGCTAATCAGAAATAACTGAGCTTGACATTGGTGATATAAAATTAAGTTGGTCAGTTTTATTATTTTCACTTTCTTCTTTGTTTTGCTATTAAAGCTCTTATTGTAATGCATTTAAAAAAAAAATCTAAAGGGTCATAGAAAGTCTGTCATTACGGCAATAGCTAACTTCCGCTGTCACCTCTGTCTTAAGTGGAGACGAAAAACCGGTGCTAACTCATCCGACCATCTTCCCTGACTTCAGCTCAACTGTGGATGTGAAACTCTGAATGTTCTTGTTAGTGTAGTTGTATATTGTTGGGGCTGGAATGAAGTGTCTTAATGCGTTTGAGTAAATTTCTCTCATGTAGGAGTAATGTATTGAATTAACTATTCGAAGCTATAGCTACAAGTTTACTGACACCTGTGGTATAGAAAGTATATAGAAATAATGACTTGCTAATGTACATTTGCATATATTGATCCATATGAGATGTATATATCTATATTTTTTCCATTTGATTTGAATGGTGTAATATGAAATAATGAAACTGTCCCTGGCCTTGGGTTAGTTTATAATTAATGAGTTAACTTTCTCTGTCAAGTGAATTGAAACATGTTTAATCTTCATTGATCTGATTGAACGTTTTGTCCCCTCTAAAGCCAGAGCATAACACCCACCTTTATGACACTGGTTATAATATCTCTATCTCTCCCACCTTTCAAACTCCCATTTCCTGGTTTTCTTCTCTACTGATCCTACTCATTCAGAAGTGTTCAGCTCTTTGATGCACCACACAAAGTCAACATTGCTGCTATTACAGATTAAAGTCCCCCACCTATTTGAACAGGAGCGGAGAAGTGGCACTTTTCCTTTAGAGGGTGTTAATGTGTGCAAGGTTTGTTCTTTGTATTTGGGAATGTTAAACTTTTTATTTTGGTAATTAAAGATTTTAATGAAAGTCTGTTTTTGTACACTCATGAATCATAAGCGCTGTCACTGTTTTACCTTTGGTATTGAATGATTTGAGTAAAAAAGGATCTTTCCATCACTTTATCAGCACATGACTTACATATCTGACAGAATGGAAATTAGTAATAGAGAAGTGATATGGCAAAAAACAAAAATGTAAATCATGACAACAGAAAACATTTGATGGTATAATGTCTAATATAAGTACTTATACATCTCTATTTTCATTTCACACTGGGTTTTTGATCACTACTGGTAATTGAAAAAAATGTAAAAGAAAAAAAAATTAGGTGGCATTAAATTGTTGGCTTTTAAAAATAAATTCCAGACTATAGAACGGACTCAAGCTGCAGCTGCAGCCTAAGTATGGATTTTCCACATTACAGCTTCAATATACTTACTTAGATGTAATGTTATAACGAGCATCAAATTATCAACTGTTTTTATCATTTATTGGATTCACTGGCACTTGTGCTCTTTTTGGGCTATCCTTGTTCTTTGCTGCTGTAACACTACATTTCTCAGTTGTGGGATGAATAAAGGTTGATCTCATCTTAAACACTAAGTCCATTTAGGATGGTGGGAGAAGTCGTACATCAGAAGCAGAGAGTAAATCAGTGTATTTTGAAGTAGTGGAAGTGTTACATTGATTATGATTCTATGTTACAAATTCACCTAATGATACAGTTCTTATCCAACAATCTATCTGCCTTTATTTGGACAGGAGAGCTGAAGACAAGACAGGAAATATAACGAAGTGTGTGTGGGGGATGACATGCACCACAAAGTGGCAAACTGGGAAGTCAAACCTGCAACCAGTGCAACCAGCACTCTCGTTTCTGTATATCGGGCCCTGCTCTACATACTGAGTTAAGACAGCCCCAACTGCTCCCATCTGTTAAATCAAAACCAAAAACTCACATTAGCACTAGAGAGGAAAATCAGTAGATCATCTTCTGAGGACCATGAACTCTCTGACTGATTCCCCCATCACTGAAGACGGGATTCAAATTCACCCTCATTTACAAAACCAATGCTTCCTTTTTCTATCAGACTGGCAATAAAGCATGAAACAGTGATGGTACAAATGAAATTCTTTTAATGCATATTTGCACATACTTTTTTTGCATTTACAAATATAAACATTATCACATTCACCTGAGGTGATAGATTACAGCACAACACACCCCACAATACACACAACACCTACTGTATGGAGTTAGGACTCAAGATATGCAACGCAGTTTTTTTTTATTGCATAAGTCTGTCACTTGGTGGCTTCATGACTTTTATCATAGACAGTCAATGTTTGGTCAGCTGTCAGTAACACCTTGTCTTTCCACTGTCAACTCTCTGGCACTGGTAGAGAAACCTCAACAACTGGGACCATAAGAGATAAATTATTTGTTGCATTATTTGACCCAGCTGTGAGACATTTATGTCAAGTTACTGAATAAGTGAATAAATACAAACTGTTACAAAAAGAAAGTCAATAAATTAATGTTGAAATGTTGGAGAAGCCCCCATCAAACACAACAATGATCTATTTAAGTATTAAAGTGAAAACATGAGGGTGTATCAGGACATTTTGTTTACTCTGTTTCATCATTCTTATACATTTTAAATATTCAGGAAGTGTTTTTATCAGATGTTTATGTCTGTACATTTTAGTCGGGTTATATCAATGTGTAATTTTGGCACACGTATGAAGGCGAGCTAAGAAAGGGGGCTATTTTCAGTTCTCATGCAGTGTGGCATATGTCGCTCCTGAGACACTGTAAACTCATGAAATGATGCTTTATAAAAATACTGCTTTCAAATATTTAAAGAATAAAATTAAACAACCAGAAAGTCATTTACAAAAAGTAAGATATCAATGCAAGTAAACGCATGCCTTTTCTTTTCAGAGAATGTTCAAACAGAATCCTTCTGAGATCTCCATCCAGCGATCTGCCTCTCCCTTTAGTCCGTTTACTGTGACATCGACTCAGAGGCTTCACAGGGCCAGTCAAATTTAAAAAAAGAAATTGTTCCATTAAGTGCAAAAAGAATCAGTTTTGTCCCGTCAGCAACTAGCTTGACTTCTCTAGCAGTTTTTCCTCTTTCAGTCTGAACGGCACGCTGACAGACATCTCTGCGATGAACCTCTCGCAGGCCGTCTTTGACACCTGCTTACAGAAGCGGAGGTCGATCTGACAGATGCTCCCACAGCGCTTAAAAAAGTTTAGGGAATGGTCCGTGACCCTGTTACACACTGAAGGGAGAGGGAAAACAAGAACCAGTCACAAACTTCATTTTAAAAAAAGTGTATTTGTGTACATTGGCGTTTCATTTTCTCCTTCCTCCAGTCTTCATCTAAAAAAAAAAAAACAACCAAAAAAAACTAACTGACAGGATTTTGTCGCTCAAGGGCTCTTCAATTTAAATCAGACCGAGTAGGCAACTCGTTTAGTTTCAAGAGAGCTTATAGGGAATAGAAACTCATCTTTTTTATTTAATTATTTATTTTTAATCTTATTATGCTCAAACCGTTTCTGCAGATACATGAGTGCATAACAACATTTTCCTGGATCAATAAAGTGCAACATTCAAATTATTCTGTGATTCAGCTGTGATACATCTCGTCTGCGACTCATAACGCAAAAATACTCAATTCATTTTGTCTGCTTTTAAAACAGAAACACTCTGAAGATACAAAAATTGACGGCACGTTAGTGAAAAACTGCTTAAATTGATCCAAAATCAGAGTGCCAGGGATGAAAAGATTTGGCCTACATGCCTCAGATTATTGACCTGTGTCATCAATTTAAGTACAGCCTCACAGGGGCAATAACCCAGAATCACAGATTAATTTAATAAGTACTTAGTTAAATATCTGCCATGTTTTAAGGATCCTGATGTAATTTATGAAACTGCATTTCTCTACCTTGACAGCAAAATGTCTAAGAAAGAGCTTTTTAGTTAAAACATGTTTTTTAACATTTTAGTGAGGTTCAGTTTGAGTTTCAAACTTTTTGACACAGTTACAACATCGTTACCTGTCTTTTTATCAAGCCTACTTTACTCTTGATTCTGATGTTTTTGTTGTGTTTTTTTGGAGTTTCCTCTACCCCCTTTGTTTCGAACTATCATCTGTTGCAGGCTACATGGATTGCTGAGGATTTCTAAGCAAACAGAGCTGTGGTTCCTTGTCCTCACCTGACAAGTTGATGTCTGTGAGCGAGTCTCTAGTTGTGGTCCCGGCTGCGGTCAGCAGGTTAACTGACTGGTCGTTGATGTGGTTGCAGTAGCTCAGGTCCAGACTTGACAGAAAAGGCATCTGCCGACAGATGAGGCGTAGAGATGTGTCAGTGATGTCCAGCCCCGCCAGCCGCAGGTCCTCCACGTTCCTCAACTTGCAGCGGTTATCTAGCTGACCTGTCGAACGTTCACATCAGGAGCGTCAGTGATCAATTCATTCAAATCTTCTGTCACAGTGTCCTGATATATTTTAACACAGAAGTCAGGAATCAAGACCACGCCTAAGGAAGCGTTTGTGCTTTGAGTTACCGGGTCTGTTGTCTGTGGGGGGGGAGAGGAGGTCTCTCATCTGTGCATCTTTGAGTCCCTCCACCCACTGCACATCCAAGGTGCGCAGCAGGGGACAGCTGGAGGTGCAGAGCGCAGATACAGCAGCCCAAGAACAGCCAGATAACTTTAACACTCGCAGACCTGAAAATCACAGCAGAACTTTAAAATACTGATGCAGAACAAATGGCATCGGACAACAGTTGACAACTGATCTGGGATCACTCATAGTCACCTGGTAATCTATTAATAAGCCAGCTTAATTGCTTCTTGGAAATGTTTGTCCAACTGAGGTCCAAGGAACCCGGCTGTCGGCGTATAATCCCACTTAGCATGAGTGGTGTGATGGATGTGCAGCGGTTCAGATCGATCTTCATCCAAAGTCTCTTATCACAACACCTAGACATCAGAGAGAGAGATTTGTGTTGCATGTTTGGTCTTTGTGTTACACTATGAAGCAGAGCAGTCCATACAAAAAATAAAACAATAAATCCTGAGCAATACTTGATTTTTTTTCTATTGAATAGCCTGATGCTGATCTAAGTTTGTTTACCATCTATTCCAAGTCTTGCAAACTCTCATGCAGACACACAGCTCCTGGTGTGTGAGGTGGCCAAAGATCTTCATCCACACCTCACGCTGTATGACATGTGTTTTTCCATCTTTTAGTGGCAGTCTGTCGGGTGGCGGGCTGATTGGAGGGGGCCTGATAACGTGCCGCTCCATTTGAACACATTTCGGCGGGGAGTGTGGGGGTGCCGGCCGGTTGGTTGGGGTGCTTCTGTTGAAGCCCAGCGGAGTGATCTGACTCGGGTAGAAGTGACGAAGCTCCCAGGGCGTGCCATTCATCTCTTTGGTCTTGAGGTGGGACCTCTGATCCCCAAGGTCGCTGCCGTTGCGAAACAACCTCTTGGGTTCCTCGTTTTCAGACTCCGGCTCCACCTTGAGGGGTTGGCGGTTCTCGTTGGCCAGGCAGTCCTCTGTCTTCTGGATCTCCTGGTTCAGTGCTTTGCTCAGCTCTCGGCTCAGCTCTCTGTTAGGTAAACGCCGCTTACGGCGGGCTTTTGGACGTGGGCCTTTTTCCTGGGTCTCGCTCCCACCCTCGCTGCTGGGGCCGGCCTGAGGAGAGCTGCAGAGAGACTGGTCGCTGTCTCCGACAGGTGTTTTAATGCAAGGATTCAAGAATTCATTCCTTAAATCTTTTTCATCCCCTTCTTCTCCAGGCTCTCCAAAACGTGCTCTCCTCTCTACACTACTCCTGAAGTGAGACCCCCTTCCTCTTTCATTCTCCTCATATGCCTCTTCATCATCCTCTTCTTTCTTGATTTGGTGCAGGAATTTGGAAAAATAAGGCTCATCTGGTCTTTCCTGTCAGAACAAACATGAATATTATTTACATTACTGTGGGAGTGATCCTGCTCGTGCCAAACCAAATACCTTGTTCTAAAATGTCACTGTAAATTTAACAAACCTTCTTCCTCACACCCAGATCTTCCTCATCATCGTCGTCAAACAGCTTCCTCTTCTTCCTCAGTTTGTCCTCCGGCCTGGGCCGCAGCAGGTTGCAGGGGGACAGCAGAGGCGGCTGTCGATGGAGAGACTCCTCTGGTCTGAACCTGGGCGTCTCCTCTCTGTCTGGTCTCCTCTTGGCTGCAGCAGAGACGTCCCCCTCCTCCTTCACAGGCTTCTGTTCCCTCAGCAGAGAGCCGGGGAGGTTGGAGGCGTACTTGAACCCCGGACCCCTTTTTTGCTTCAATGCCAGAGGGGACAAAAAAATTGCGAGACAACTTTATACCTTAAGCTTATGGTGACGAGTGAAACCAACTGCAATCCAAAAGTACCTGAGGTTTAATAAACATCAACACTGTGACCAAAAAAGTATGTGAGTGGTTTCCTGCTTCTGTGACACACAGCCACTTGTGAGAGACTTTCACAGACAAGACAAGTTTAAATCAGAAGTGGAAAACTAATCAACATACAATAAATACAATTACCGGTACTGAATTAGGATAACTACAGTTATGAGTGATACCAATACTCTGGAAATCTCAGGAATCTTTTGGTGGTTGTTGTTTTCTAGGCCAAGAATATTTCCAACACACACTTAGTAAGCTATTACATAATCTGAATCTTCTGACTCACACATATTTGTACTCACTTTTCCACTCTTCCCAGCGTGGTTGCACTTAGGACATTCCCAGCAGTTTGGGAGCTCGTCGTTCACCACTCCTGAGGCGTCGCTCACCTGATGAACAATAAGAAAATGAGCCAGACGACGAGAAGCTCCACTGTTCCGTTTGTTGAATACAAACTAGACAAGGGAAGTGAAAGTGACTGTGTTGATGTGTTTCAGCTGTGCAGGTCAGCAGAGTTTAACCTCAGTCAGAGTCAACATCCACACTCTTGCTTCCCGCACAAAGTAATGAAAGAAAGTAGAGCTAACGACCTGTACTTGAGTAGCATAAATCTGCACTTCCAAGTAATTGTAATGTCCAAATTGTTGTATTTTGGGGGTGGCATGAATATAAAAACATTTTGTTGTTGCATGCAAAACCACTAGACAGTGCTTGTCCGAGAAACCAGTTTGATGGAGCATGTTGTAGCAACCATCTGTTGTGTTTTTGCATCTAAAAACAGGGTGTGTGCTGCTTTACATTTTGTTTTAGTATTTCTTTCAGTTCTACTGCCTCACATACTTGTTTGGCAATAAGTGTATTCATTAATCATTTAATCCCTGTAATGGTTTGCACTCTGCAGCATGTGGTGGGAGTCGAATCCTCGAAACATGATGATGTCACACATGAGCCATAAAACCTCCTGAACCTCGAGAACCACGAGTGTGCTCAGTGTTAAATAAAAAAACACCAATTCTAACGTTAACTAGCTTCAGTGAGTACAGTCCAAGTGTCTGACTCACTCACAGTATGATTGGATGTCCTGGGATTCCTGGCAACTTAACTTTAACAGGAATGAGTCAAGGTATGAATGAGTCGACTGAGTTTGGGGTGTTAAAACTGTTCCCAGTGTCTCTTTACCTTGAGACAATTTGGATGGACGATCTCATTGCAGATGGAGCACTCCATCAGCATGAAGTTGAACTTGTCCTCCTCTTCCTCCAGTGTGTCCTCTTTCCCCGCCTCTTTACACACGACGCACACCGCCGTGTGGGGCAGAACAGGCTGCGTGGATGGGGAAGAAAAAACACATCGTGTTGACTTCTCAGGTAAGGCGCTGACATCACAGTGGTGTCTTTGTCTTTGTAGAAAACCTCTTCTTATTTAAACAGGAGGGTGAATGGAATATAACAACTAACTCACCGCGATGCATTGCCTCATAATGCACGACTGCTTCATGCGTCCCGGGCCTCCAAACTTTTTCATGTCTTTGCAGAAGTGACACTCGCCACACTCGGTCCGGAGACACGCCTCACACTTTCTGCAGCGTGTCCTCCTACGTCTCGCTCCTGAGGAGCTCCGGTTGGATGGCAGCTTAACCGCTGACGTTGTCCCCATCTTTGGGGGCTTTGGCCGGTTGGCTGCCCGCTGCTGGAAGACAACAGACAGAACATAAACCATTGTAGTGGTGACAGAGAGGAGGACTCTTAAACAAACTGTTATCCATTATGGATAATCCTGAGCACCCTCTGCACCACCTACTGGACAAACAGCAGAGCAGCTTCTCCAACAGACTGATCCAGCTCTACTGTCACAAGCCGGACAGATACAGGAAATCTTTCCTACCAAAGGCCATAACCCTTTACAACAGCTCACCTCTTGCGAGCAGAGAACTGTCATCATCATGATAATATCTGTCTCTCCATACTATAATCTGTTCTGCTCATGCTACTTGTAAAATTGACACACTGTCCTTACATTTAAGTTAACAACATTGCCTGACTGCTCATCATTATAGTGAATAGTTTCAACTGATAACGTAGCTACACTCCTGCACTTTAACATATATATCTTTGATTGCACTTTAACATATATATCTTTGATTGCACTTTAACATATATATCTTTGATTGCACAGCCACGAATTTGCACAGCTCTGGAGAACCCCTTATATTGTTATTACATATTTACAACTGTCATCACTGTTTTTGCAAACTTACATCTCTTACCTCCAGCAAGTATTTTTACATTCATCTGACAAGCCTGAATAAATGTTGTATTTAATGTTTCTTTTTTTTTTTACCAGTAAGAATGTTAAGTTAAATCCTTAATGTATAAGTCTCTTCTTATTCTTTTATATTTTAAGTGTTTATTTACTATGTATCTATTCTTATATTGTTTTATTTGCTCTGATAACGTGATGCTGTAACACCACAATTTCCAAGTTTGGGATCAATAAAGTAATTCTATTCTATTCTATAAAGAGACAGGTGGACAAGTTTATACCTGTAAACCTCAAACCTGTCAGCTAAACAGCCGGTGCATTTTTCTGTTTTTCTTTTGTCATCTTTTGTGTATTGAGCTGCATCAGGACAGATATCAAAGTCATGCCCGACATGTTGCAAAAACACAATAAACTGATGATTCATTTGTCAACTTACTAGTCATAGTATGCTGTTCCAACAAGACAATCTAAAAGGTCAAGTTGTAATTATTTCTAACTATCGCTGTTGCATCGGAGGCTTTCAGTGATAGGCTCACAAAAAAAAGCAACTCAAGACAAAACATGTTTTTAATGTTGTTGTTGTTTTTTTACCCAGGTCATCATCATCTTGTTCAGTCAGTGAAACAGTTTAATACAAAAATAATGGTTTAGATATCTGCACCAAGTATTATTGTAACAGATGAGTAACAGTTTAATCAAATAATGGATTGGTATTTAAAAAAAACATTATTTTTTAGTGCTCTTAAAAAACAGTACACTTTATTATCTGTTGATCTATTGATAACATTCTCTAATTTTCCGACACCTTTGTCCAAGTTGACACTGCTAAAAGATGATATAAAAGCCAAAGAAGGGACCTTCAAATGTCTGTTTTGTAGATAAAAAAAGAGTCACTCAGATGTGTTATATTTGAAGAGAGACTTGATTATTGACAAGCCAGAAGCAGCAAACGTTCTCATGTTCAATAAATGATCGAAAAACAGGAAAGAGAACCTAAAACTATATGTCAGACGTTATCAGACCAAACCCACAGACGTATGTAATCAACATTTTACCTCCATGTTCACACATACTCTCCGTCTGACTCACAGGAGCAAATTAAAGGCAACAAAAGATGAGCCTTTGTGAGGCACAGACTCAGCACACACCCACAGCTTTGAGATCTCTGATCCCAAATTCATGTTTGCAAAATTTTCCCTTTTTATTCTCTCCCATTTATTTTTAGCAACTTCCCTGTTGCTATGGCAGGATCGCAACGCTACGGCAGAGCAAGACAAATCAAAAAGCATTACGCTGATTCTCGTTATTACAGGAGAGATTACCTTGGCAACACGTTTGCCATCGGCGGTGGCAACAGTTTGAATAGAAGACTGCAAGAGGTGGATAAAAATAGGCTCACATGAGGAGGTTATGATGAAGTGGGAAGCTGTGAGCGCTTTATTCTCATTCTATTGTCGATTACTAATAGAAAGCATTTATTTAATCCCATATTATTGATTGTCTGTATACTGATGCCAGGGTGCTATAGACTGGTCTAACAGGTCAAATAAATATGCACACATAGAACAAGACGTGCCAAACTATTCAGACTGATACTTTCTGAATGACAATAACACAAACCAAGAAGAGAAACTGAATCTGATGACAAGAACAAAGAAACAACGCAGTGGTAGATGATTAATATTTAATTTAATTTATTTTTGCATTTCCTGTCTGATAATTTAGTGGAGACGGGCTTCTACCCCATGAGAGCTTTCCATAAAGCCATACGACTGGTGTAAAAACTTCAAGGGACACATGAAAAAGGACGGTCTACTCCAACTGCAGGGGCGGCTGAGACTGTCAACATCACCTTTTTATTTGTTGCGCTGCTTTTTTTTTGTTTTGTTTTGCTCCTGAATTATCTGACACCAGAATTGTCCAAATATCATATCATACATTGAATGCAAGTGTCCCGGCAAAGTTTTAACCACGACTAATAAAAGACAGACTACTACCTCGTCTTTCCCTCTGATAAAATAAATAAATAAATCTGTGGCCGAGAACAAATCAGAGCAGCCGACATCAGCTGACCCTCCTTTACTGTAACCCTGTGCAGTAATATGTCAGGAATTTGGGATTGGTTGCCGAGGCCTGTGAACAAAAAACATGGTCTTATATTCTTTTCAGCATGGTCCTCTGACTCAGCTTCAGAGTGGGTTTCAGTGGGGAGAAGAAAGTCACGAGGCTTATCATTTGCTACTCATGCACAATGTTCTTCACAGCCAGTAATAAATAACGCGTCTGTCTTGCGGCACAACAGAAGAGATCAGAATACCTTCTCTTATGAGCTGTTGGTGGGTGTTGTTGGTGTAAACATTGTGTAAGCACAAGGAGTTGGCTCTTATGTCAGCACTTCTCATATGTCCAGAGGAGACTTGTGCAATATCCCTAAGCCTTGTTAGAAAGCAGTAAAGCCACATATCAAAACTCTGTCTGGAGTGTTTAAATCTCCACTGCTGTGAGACTTAACTCAATCTGCTGAGTAGTTTGTGGGACCCACTGGACAACCAAGAAACACAAGTAGAGCCCCTTCATTGTTCCCTCTCCCATCCCCCCCCCCCCCCCCTCCCCTTCCACAAGTCAGTCCCAGCCTAAACAACAATATGCCTTTAAGCCGTATTTTAGGCACAGGCTAGTGAGGAAATGTAAAGGAAGTGAGAGGAAATTAATCACAGGAGAAGCATTTTCTGAGGGGGACATGTGGTAGCGTAGAGTATATCATATCTTTTACAAGTCTGAAGTTAAAAGGTTTAAAGACATATCCGTCACAACCACGTATGTGTGATATTACTGGACTGAAGTGGTTTGTGATTATTTATGGTCAGTACATAAAAAAAAAAATTTAAAAAAAAAGGGTGAGTTGTGGCTAACATAGAAGATGTGTGATGTGGAGAAGACACGGTGTGTTTGTACAGTGTTTCAACACTTATTATAAGCAGCCAGGTCAATAAAACAGTGTGCACTGAACACTATACGTCTCTTTGTCGTGGTTAAGTACTGAAGGAGGTTTTAAAGACACATTTCACCTTTTGACTCGACCAGGGAAACAGAAGAGCGGCTAAATGCCCAGCGTTACCCTGAAGCAGATATATACAGTACTCCGCTCACAAAAACACTTAGGATCCTTCAAACTAAACACAACAACACACAGAGGTTATGTAATGAAATGTAGGAGCTCTGACCTGCTCAGACTCTGAATCATATTCCTCATCGTCTCCGCTCAATGACAAGGCCATGGCTCCTCTGTCTCATCGTTTGTGAACAGCAGAGAAAACTAACATGGCTGAACAAGGCTCCTCCAGCTCGACCCCCCCCCTCCCCTCCCCTTCACATAATGTTCATTATGCTGCGTTCAGGAAACATGGTAAAATTCAAAAGCGACTCTTCGCTACACACTTAAGCCGCCGAGGTATTTTTCCGAACTAACAAAGTATTTACGTCTGAAAGAAGTACATACGGGAAAATACAACCGTACACTTTAAATGTGACGTATTATTAAAAATAATGTACGTATATGACGATTAAATTATTTTACCATACTTTGCAACGGTGATTAACGAGTGTAGTGAGAGCATCATCCGCGCTAACAGGAAGTAAAGATTGGCAGGTAGCACAAGATAGACAAATGCTACACACGTCAGTCTTTGCTTCGGATTGTTTGATTTTCTTTGATATATTAATCCTGAGGTACTTATTGGTTTACTTGTGGTATTTGATAGGGATCATTTTTACCCAGTGACTGATTTATTTAAGTTGGCCTGTGATAATTCAGAATGTCTGTTCTGAAGTTTCGGGCTATTAGCTTACTTTAATGGCTCAATTATGATGTTTAATCTTATGTTTTATACATATCTCGGGTCACCCAAGCTGTTGTTTTACCTTCTGAACAAAAAGGAGTTCGTGTAGTGTTAACTGATTAATAAAGTACCTCTTCACTGATAATACAAGATGTGAAATCTGCTGTTCCTCTCAAATTTAAGTATGCTTACAGCCAGTCACCAGTCTCACATTATCCTTCTCATGCTGAAATTAAAAGGAAGACAAGACATAGTTTAATTTAAAAGGAACATTTCTGCAACAAGGCAGTTCAATGTAGGCTACTTCCTGCAGAAGAGGTGTGATGATAAAGTGCGAAAGCAACACAGTGAGCACTTTAACCTCAGGGTTTCGTTATAGAGCCACCCTGCTTGTGATAAAAACAATACATGTGTCAGTAGCTTACTCAGTGCTTGATAATGATGAAGTTGTAATGAACCATTACAATGATGATTGAGGTTTCTGAGATAAGCAGGGCAGAGTGTACATGAAGTAAAGGAGAGTAACTGTACAGAAAGTGAGCATGACATAGCAAAAGGGGGTAGAGCTATTTAAAGAAAGTCTATCAACAAAGCAATGTGTTAATGATCAATTATTTGAAAGACTCTTTAAAATAGAAAGAATAAAATCTGAAACAAAACTTTGATTTTTTTGGGGGGAGAAAAGTAATTTTAGACACTGGCCCATTTGAGCTTAAACAGCAAGATAAAAGAGAACCAATTTTCATCTTAAATGTGCCACATAAAGAAACACTCTTACACAGGAAACATGCATTGCATACAGTTAGGCTTTGGGATGGGAAGAGAAGGGAAAAGTACAGAGCTCTGGCTGTTTTGATGTATTTGGAGTTTTTGTCAAATAAACAAAAAAAGGTTGACAATATTTCAAGCATTGAAATTAACAATCGCATAAAGAATGACACCAACCCACAGAAACCACTACAACATGATTAGTGATACATTATTTGTTAGACTTTGTATTATATGAAATGTATTTACAGTGTTGTTACTTTTGCATTAATTAGTTGGTGTTTGAGTTGCTGTGAAAATGAATTAGATTTCATATGAAATCACAGTTGCCCCATTTTATATTGTGGTGTAGCTCAGAAGTGGACATGCTGATACTCCAGCGGTCATAATTAAAAAAACAATTGTATTTTTTCAACATTTGTTAGCATTTAACTATCTCAGAGGTTGGTGACCATTTAAAAACAATCAATGGATCTTGTGCATAGCTTATTTGCTGGTCAAATAGAGCGTTTACCACAAACTGGCCCTTTTTAGCTGACGTCACCTCATTCAGTTGTATGAAAAACTTTCCACAAAGACTTTAATAAAAGTGGAATTCAAATGATTAATTTCATTACCTGAAGACCATAATAAGAATAGAAACAAAGATATATTGTTTCGCTTCGACGTGATTATTTTATCTATTAGAGTTGCTTTAATATGCCCAGTCAGCTTCTGAAATTGTCTCTGGAGAAAACCAAACTTCAAAATGATATTTCCAACCATGCAGAAATACATGCTCCATTTAACTTCTGGCCTTGATTGATGTGAAATCAGACTGCAATGTTCTTAAAAAACATCAGAGTATCACTATAAGTAATCAATGTGCTCATGTGCTGAAAAGAACTATAAATGTGTCCTCGTGACATTCACTTCATCAAGACTTAAAGTGGATTTTGCATTATTGAGTGATTTTATTTCTTAATCTAATCTGGCTACTCAAACAATGTATGCTTCATTATCACTGATATGGAAGTGTTTTACGACACAAAAAAACCTTTAACAAACTCAGTATATGCAAGATGTGATACTACATACAATGTCTATAAAATGTACATTACAACAGACAGTTGTGATGATGTCACACACAGTCTCAGTCATTGATTCAGTGATGTCATTGAAATGGACAAACTGAAGACTGGATCCTTTACCAGCTTTCCAGCCACATCGCCAGTTGTTACTGGTATGCCCAAACCAAAAGCATCGCAGACTATGATTTAATCCTGGTCTCAGAGGTGACGAGTGAGTGACTAAAATAAAGGATTTGGTCCTCAATGGCTGGATCAAGTGGTAACCATTGTTCCATTCTTTTGTTTCCATGTAATGATTTGATGAATGCATTAGGTGTGCTTGTAACTATTTTTGAATTTGCAAAACACAGTATCCTGGTTTCTGATTCTTACCCTCTGATGTTTGTTGCTTTTGCTATGTTGCATCCTCTTGTTTACCAAGCAGTGTCAACATTATCTTTCACTATCAAGCACATGTTGCTGAGCAAAAGATGTCGAGTGTCATGAATTGGTTTTGTATTTTGTAGGTTTTCTGAGTTTCCTGTTTTTTTCCTATAGTGTTGCTTGTTTCCCTTGTGTGTTAATGTTTCCTTGTGTTGATGGGTTCCTCGTTTTGTCTTCAGTGTTTTCTGTTTTATTTTCTCATTCCTTATCCTCGTGTCTCTCCATGTTCTAGTGTGTTTCATTATTCTTGAGTTCTCTGTCTTCAGTGTTTCCTGATTTATTTTATAGTTGTCCTCAGTGTTTCTTGTGTTTAATCCTGTGTTTCCCACCGTGTTGATTACCTGTGTTATTAGTCTCACCTGTGTTTGATTACCCCATGTCTATTTAGTCTCTGTGTTCTTGCCCTCGTGTTGTCACTTCATTGTTATAAGTTGAGTGTAGTTATGTTTGTATGTCAGTTGTCAGTTTGATGTGATGTGATGTGATGTGATGTGATGTGATGTGATGTGATGTGATGTGATGTGATGTGATGTCAGTTTTTCTTCGTGCTCCTGTTTTTGATCCCTGCGTTTTTTAATTAAAATATTAGAAAGTAAGTTTTTGTTTGCCTTCTGCCTTTTTGTTAAATTAAATACTTTTGGTTATTCTGCACTTGGGTCCACCTCCCTTGTTTTCCCACACCCATGACATCAAGTGTCTATCATGTTCTCTGCTGTTGACTTGTGGGACTGAGTGCTTGTTACTTGAATTCAGTGATTTAGATGTTTGAACTCACACAGGAAGGTGTGCAGTGCCTCCTCACTAAATCAACCATGCAAGTGATGAAATGACCTGTAGTCAGATAGTTCTGATGAAGCGTTCTCCTTTGAGGCAGCAGCAACTCATGACATAAGACATATGCTTTTTTTTAATTGTGTGTTATAAATGGGTCACTGCTTTTGTAATGCAGGGTTAATTATCAAGTAGGTTTGCACATACTGCAAGAAAGATGTAGGCTAATACCATGTGGTGCTTAATAACCAACAGAATAAGAAATGAAATCGAATGCATTAAACAGTGAAATGATGACTTGTGGTAGGCTTAGGCTAAATATACCCTGATTGAAACAACTGTGAGAAATGTAGCCTATATTAAAGTTGAATAGCCTATCTGTTTGGGATAAATAAAAACTACAAAACATATATTTATCTTTATCCTTCTGATATTGTAGATATAGTATGAACATATTACTTTAACCCCACTGATTAATTGGCCTGAGTACGAGGCATCACATTCCTCAACCATCACTGAAAGGGAAATCGGCTTTGTGAAGAGTAGTACTCCTCTGTAGCCGCCAGGAGGCGACCTGTTGCACGACCCGGAGAGAGCATTGGATTGTGGGTATGTGGTGTTTCCTGACAGACTCTGACAGCCAGTCAGCTGCTGTAGGAAAGTTTTGATAGTGTGTCACAGCTCTTCTCCTTCGTGTTTGGTAAATGTCTCATCGCTTCCGAAACACATTTCCTGCGAAGGTTTTTTTTTTCTCTCTCTCTTCCGTCTAATTCAGCGGTCTCTAACTTGTGAATCTATTCGGTTAATAACGCATTAACTATTTGTAAAACATTTAAAAAAAAAAAAACAAGTGTCGTGACTTGGATCAACTTTTGGGATGAGTTTAAACGAGCACTCCATGCAGGCTCTGTCGTGGAGGAAACTCTACTTGAGTCGAGCTAAACTGAAAGCCACCAGCCGGACTTCAGCTCTGTTGTCTGGGTTTGCGATGGTAAGTGAAAGTTTTGACCCCCAGACTTCATCTCGCAGTGATCTCAGTGTTTATTAGGCTACATGATTGTAAACTCTGTGTAGGCCGTAGGCTCCAAACGCTGTTATAGTAAGTGACGCAGATTATTGTTTACAAGAGCTGGATTGATCCTGACACTTTTCAGGCCTAATGACAGCCTTTGTGCACACTTTAAAAGAATATGGTTTAAAAACTGCTCCATTTCAGTGAGGGCGGTAGGCTACACCAAGTGGAAAGTTAAAGGTCACGGAAGCAAACGAAGCTGCAGTCTTCCGTTCAGTCGTTTTGACTCGATGCGCTTCAACAAAGCATCTGAAGTTTATGTAAACTTTAGGGATTTCCCACACACATTTTTATAATCCCCACTTTATCCTCCGCCTGAACAAGTAGACCGCACAAGAGCAATGCCAAAGCATATGATTATTTTATTTCCTTATTTGACTAAGTAGCTTGCATAAAATTAATAATTTTTCATA